AAAAAAAAAAAAAAAAAGAACAAATCATTCGGTGCAATACTTGTTTCTTTTTCATTTTACATTTAAATTTATAAAGCATTTTTTTTTTATTTTTTTGGTTTATACTTATTTCATCGAAATTGCATTTTCGTTGACAACATTTGACATTCCTATTAAGTAATAAAAAGTTAGGATGATGTGTTTTCTTAATTTTTGCTCGAAAATAAACTTAAATCTGGTTAGCATGGATGAAAGAAGAGATCAAAAATCTTCAACAAATGCCATAATCGGATCAATTTTTGGGCCTTACTTTAAACCTCATATTTATCTTTTTCTCTTTCACATTTCTTTAAATACTAAATGCTTTTTGCAATTTTCATAACAAATAACTGCTGTTTATTTCGTTTTTACATTCAACAATTTCTCTTCGAACATATGCTTAACTTTTCTTTTGACAATACAAATCTTTAAGTTGTAAAATTTGCATATTTGTATGTCAAAAAGAAAAGAAAAAACAAATTAGTTGATTTGATGGAAAAAAAAACAAAGAATTTTTTCATTTATATTTTTAGATTGAATGTTTTGTTTTTTATTTATCTTTTTCAATTTGTTTTTTTTTTTAAATATTTATTGAAATTTTTTTCTTTCTTACCCTCTTTCTTTTTTGTTTTTCGCTTTAATTATATCATAAAAATGTTTAAAAAATTATCACAAAATTATTCATTGCCATTTTACATTAAACTAAATATTACAGAATTACCAGTTACGTCATCTTTTTTTTTTTACAACCTAAATTCCAGGAGTACAATAAACGGGAATTAGCGTAAAATAGTGACAGTGAAGGATTAATTTGTTGCGAAGAATTAATTCGTTGAAATTTGGATACGACAAAACAAAAAAAAAAAAAAAACTACTACTAAGGTTACGCTTATTATCCTCTCATTTTGTTTTTTTTTTCTCATCATTATTGCCAATTATTAATTAATTAATTAGTTAATTAATTGATTCGTCTTGTTATTGTTTTGAATTAATCTGAAATAAATAGAAGTGCATTACAAACAGTTTAATGCAAATAAAATTTCTTATTGAGGAAAGGATGAAATGAGATGAAGAACTGTTGCAAAAATTACATTACTAATCTTTTCATATCAGTAAATGATGATTCATCAATGATAAGGTATACTTATGTTATCGAAAGGTAATTTAAAAAAATAATTTGAATTTTCGAAATGTAATCTAAATTTACGATCATTTCAATATTATCCTATATGTTGAACATGAAAAGTATTGAAGGAATATTTGCATATTGTAATTAATATTCATTTTAAGCTTTGTTTTAATTTATAGTACAATTCATTTTTGTAGTTTAAAGTTAGCTTAATCGTATAGTTTATTGTTGACAAATAAATATGACCCTAAATAAGTATTTGACCTCGAAATGTTAATGAATAAAATTTGTAAAACAAAAAACTAATTGGTGAAAGAAATTATGCTTTGCTGTCATCAAATCAATGATAAACTGCTATATCTATTTCTCTCGCTCTCTCTCCCTCTCTCTTTCCCTCTCTCTCTCTCTCTCTCTCTCTCTCTTCTCTTCTT